CTTTGTTTTATCAAAGCAGGGTCTTGCACATAGCCCATAGTGGAAGCAAAATATGAAGGTTATCAACAGACACAAGCTCGTCATAAGAGGAGTAAACAAGAAGATCCAACACTCTTCTCAGATCATCAACAGTAAATGATACATCATTAGCAGATAAAACGGTTGCATGCACATATTTGGTAGAAGCATCATGTACACAAGTGGCCCAAAAAGCACATAGTAGATATTTGCTCATCTTTGGAGAATAGGTAAAAGCTTTGAAAAAAGGGCACTTACATAAAAATTCGATGATGATGAAGAAATCCGAATACTTGTCATTATGATCTAACAATGCCACAAAATTGCACGGAGAAAATGTAACACTATCAATAGTGAGGGAAATATATTTTTTAACCTTGGGAGCTTTAGAGTGAGTTCCACCTTTAGAAGCCATGGTTAAGTATCTTTGAAAACAAATGAGAGGTTGAAGATGTTTTAAAAAAGGAGAAGGGAGGAGGTAAAAATATGGTGGGGAAAAGGTGTAACCCTTGGGAACCTAAGAAGTCAAATGATTTGACAAGGCAAAGAAAATAGGTGTGAAGAAATAGGGGTGAGGGGTTTTGGTTAATCGGTGAGTGAAGAGGGGAGAGAAGAAAAACTTTGAATTGGAAAAAATATCGGGTGATAGTGGGGGACAAAAAATCGAAGGGAGGAGAGGAGAGAAAGGCCGGGCGACGGCCTAGGATAGGCCGATCTAGGCGAAGCAAACGTGACGTAGAAGACGGTGCAGGCATAAGCCGGTCTAGGAGGATTGGGCGGTGCATGGCACGGCAAGCCGGCTGGCGTGAGCAGCCGGTTCGGCGTGTGTGGGGAAGCAGGCAGGCAATGTCGACACGTGGGGGGAGACAGGACGATCATCGGTAGTGGCGCAGGTCAATTCGGTAGCCGATTTGGTGAGACTCGACGTACGCCAATAGTGAGTGGGGGGTGGCGAGTGAGATAGAGAGAGAAGGAAGGGTTTCGCGAGATGAGGAGAACGAGTGGTGAGGAAAGGGTTTTAAGAAGGGAAATGGGATCGGCTTGGGGAGAGAAAGTCGAAGGTGTGGGAAGGGAAAGCCGGTCTGTGAGAAGGGATGTGTTCGGTGTGACGAAGCGATCAACAGTCTAGGGAAAGACGAAAAGTAGGGAGAGAGAGAGAGGCCGATCGATCGATTGGAGAGGAGAGAGTGAGGGAGGCCGAATGAGAAAAGATGAGGGAAGGGGTCGACTTGTTTGAGTGTGGGGATCGGTTTGGGGCAGAGGATAGGGAGATCGGTGTGAGGGAGAGACCAATGAGAGAGAGGGGGGGGTCAGTGTGTGGTGTGATCGGCTTGTGAGGTTTGTGGGGAGAAAAATAATCGGTTTATGGTAGGGGAGGGGACGAAAGGGGGTTGGCTTGGTGAGCGAGTGTGTGTGTTTGGTTTGAGCGAGGGTCGGTTTATGTGAGATCGGTAAGATAGTGTGAGTGTTCCCGGGTGTGCGTATAGTGTGAGTTAGTGATAGAGGCCGAAGGGAGTGAGAGGGGGTTTGGCTTTTGATGAAGGGTGTGTGGATGTATGTGTTTTTTGTGAGTGGGAGGGAAAGCCGAAGAGAGATCGGTTTGGGGGGATACGGCCCAGCCCACAAACGACACAGACCAGCCCGGTCACAGACTACTTTTGAGAATATATTTTAGAACCCATCGTTTTTTTAAATATTACTCAATAAATATATAAAACAATACGAAATTTTTAAGCGATATAAAAATAATTATCATAAAGACTCTTTAGAGAGGAAAAAGTAGAAATTGATTTTCAAGAAAAAAAAATATACGAGTGTAAAACTCATCATTTTCAAAAGATCAATATTTTAGAAAGAGAGAAGATATGCTCACACAGATACCAGACACAAACTATTTTTGAGCAAATGACACAACAAATTTTTTAGAGAAGACACACAACCCAAAAGAATTAGTGAAGACTCAAAAAAAATTATTTGTCAACATTTAACATTCCTAATTCACTAATTAGAAAATTAAACCGAGTTTCATCAAGAGGCTTGGTAAACAAGTCAGTGAGTTGATAGTCTGTGGGGATAAAATAAAGTTCAACATCACCTTTCATCACATGATCTCTGATAAAGTGATACCGAATATCAATATGCTTTGTACGAGAGTGAAGAACTGGATTGCTGGCAATAACAATGGCACTTGAATTGTCACAAAAGTAGGAATTTCTAAGAACAACGTATCGTAATCAGCTAACTGATTTTTCATCCACAATACTTGTGCACAACAGCTATCTGCAACAACATACTCTTCACCTGTTGAGGTGGACATATTGTGTTGCTTCTTACTTGTCCAACTGACTAACTTTCCACCCAACAACTGACAACTACTAGTTGTACTCTTTATGTCAACTTTGCAACCTGCATAGTCAGACTCTGAAAAACCTGTTAGATCAAAACCTGAGTCTTTGGGATACCAGAGACCCAGGTACCTGAAAATGCGTTTAACGGCTGCCAAGTGAGATTCCTTCGGATTCGCTTGGTATCTTGCACAAAGACACGTAGAAAACATAATATATGGTCGACTAGCAGTAAGATAAAGTAAGGAGCCGATTCCCTATAACTGGTCACATTTACCGATTTGCCATCGGGGTCTGCATTCAGTTTCAAGGGGGTGCCATAGGGGTTTTCATGGAAGAACACTCATTAAAATCAAATTTCTTTAAAAGATCTTTAACATATTTGCTTTGATTTATAATGATTCCTTTGTCGGATTGCTGGGCTTGCAAACCCAAGAAAAATGTGAGTTCACCCATCATACTCATTTCATACTTACTTTGCATGAGTTTTGAAAACTTTCTATACATATATTATTTTGTGGCACCGAATATGATATCATCCACATAAATTTGTACAAGAATGACATTACCTTTATGTTTCCTAAGAAAGAGGGTATTGTCAATTTTACCACGGGAGAACCCGTTTTCCAAAAGAAAAGTAAATAAAGTGTCATACCATACACGAGGAGCCTGTTTGAGACCATACAAAACTTTGTCTAATTTATAGACATACCCTGGATGTTTAGGATCCTCAAAGCCTGGAGGTTGCTTCACATAGACTTCTTCAGTAAGTTTCCCATTTAAGAAGGAACTTTTGACATCCATCTGGAAAACTTTGAAGTTCTTGAAAGCAGTATAGGCAAGGAAGATTCGGATAGCTTCCAACCTTGCTACCGAAGAAAATGTCTCATCATAATCAATGCCTTCCTCTTGCATGTATCCTTGAGCAACGAGTCGGGCCTTGTTTCGAGTCACCGTTCCGTTCTCATCCATTTTATTTCTGAAGATCCACTTTGTGTCAATAATTGTTTTGTTGGTTAGTCGGGGGACCAGTCTCCAAACTTTATTATGCTCGAACTGCAGCAATTCTTCTTGCATGGCACTGATCCAATTAGGATCATCAAGGGCTTCTTCCATCTTTTTAGGCTCGATGAGAGATAGAAAATTGACATACAAACATATATTACCAGCACTGCGACGTGTTTGGCCACCTGCTTGCTGATCACCAATAATTTGCTCCACTAGGTGATCTTTGGTCCACTTAGTGGCAGGAGGAAGAGGAAGAAGAAGAGAGGTAGAGGCACCATCAGCATTCGTCAGAGGATTGGAATAAACGACTACTGAGATTGGGTCATCGATGTCCCTAGTAGAATAAATAGGAACATCGACACAAGTTGAGGGTTCCACATAGGAAAGAGGTGCCGGATCGGCTGGTTCTTGTTTAGGACTGACCGATGGGATATTCATGTTGAATGAAAGATCTTCATTCTCATCTTCCTCAACAGGTGGAACAACATCTCCATTACAGTGTGGAGGTCCACCGACTGGAGTTGAATTCTCAGAGGAGTGAGATTCYAGCCACTTGTTTAGCTCAAGATCATCACTTTGAAATGATGATGTTGCAGGCATCGATCCAGATTTATCAAATCTGACATTGACAGATTCATCAATGCACTAACGACACATGTTGTGCACCCGAAAGGCTTTAGAGAAGAGAGAGTAAACAACAAAGATTTCTTCATCAGATTTAGGATCAAACTTTCCTAATTGATCTCTATCATTCAGAATAAAACATGCACTACCAAACACATGAAGGAAGCTGATGTTTGGTTTTCTACCGTGAAATACTTCATAAGCAGTCTTATTTTGTCTTTTCACAATTATAGACCTATTTTGAGTAAAGAAAGCAGTATTAACAACTTCAGCCCAAAAGTAGGTCAGAAGATTTGTTCTACTTAGCATAAAACGTGCAGCTTCACAGAGTGTACGATTTCTTCTTTCAACAACTTCATTATGCTGTAGAGTCTGAACTGCTGAGAAATTTTGAGAAATATTCTTGTCATCAAAGAAGTTTTCAAGAACACTATTTTGAATTCAGTGTCGTTGTCACTACGAATTGATCTGACAATTTGACCATTCAAGACTTCAGTCCGCTTCACAAAGTTGATAATTTCTTTAGCTGTATCACTCTTGTGTTGAAGAAAGAAGACCCTAGTATATCTTGAGTACTCATCCACAATAACAAGAGTATAACTTTTCCATCCAAACTTTGAACGCTCACAGGACCACAAAGATCCATGTGAAGCATGTGCAAAGGAGCAAAAATAGAAGAGCACATCTTGGACTCGAAACTTGTTTTGGTTTGCTTGCCTTTTTCACAAGCATCACACATCTTCACTTTTACATATGACATTTTAGGAAGTCCAATAACCAGATCTTTACTAGAAAGATTGTTAATGGTTTTGAAGTTGAGATGGGACAACCTTTTATGCCATAGCCAATTTTGATCAGCAGTAGCCTGGAGTAGAAATAGATGTTGGCGTCAGAAGAGCTAGAAGAGTCCATGTTGATCACATAGACATTATCCTTTCAGATACCAGTTAGTACCTTCTTGCCAAAAGAATCAAGAATGGTACACTAGTTTTCTTCAAATTTTACTTAGAAGTTGAGATCACATAGTTGACTGATGCTTAGTAGATTGTGCTTCAGTTCATCCACATAAGCTACCCGGTTGAAGGTAACTGAGCCGTTAGAAAGAACACCATATCCTTTAGTAATACCTCTGGCATTATCTCCAAAGGTTATAGAAGGACCATGTTCAGACACATAGTTGATCAACAGGGACTTGTTTACAGTCATGTGACTTGAACATCCATTATCCAAGTACCATACATGTCGGTGTCTAAGCCCTGCAAACATAGATAAATCAGTTTTTAGGTACCCATTTTACAATGGGTTCAATGGGGTTAGGAATATTTTCTTCTTTCTATTCTCTTACTGGCCTAGAGATTCTTTCCTTGGGACAGTTCTTGGCCATATGAAAAGTGTCACCACAATTATAAAATTTTCGATAAATAAACACAGGTTTAATAGAAATTAAAGGTGTGTGCTTAACTGTGTTGACATGCTTTTTGATTTTTTTTTGAGAGAAGAAGAAGCTTTGGGAGGATGGAGAGGGTTTTGGACCAAGAATCCCTTTTTCAGACTCAGGGTTTGGTTTTTGAGAAGCGATAGAAACTTGGAAGCCTTTTTCAAGGATACTAGTCTAGGAACGAACTCAGTAATAGAAGGTACTAAGGTACTAGACTGAGAAGCAACAGCTGACTGAGATGAGGTAGTCAAAGGCTTATGTTTCATCTTCAGTTTAGATTTTGGTTTCTTATTCTTGATAGGCTTGTCCACAGACTTGCCTTTCTCAGCAGCAGAGAAACGATGATTCAAAGGATGCTTCAGATGCTTAGAAGTTTTAGATTTAAATGAGCATGCATCAAGAGATTCCTTAAGAGAGAGAGAGAGAGAGAGAGAGAAAGAAAGAGTTAAACATATAGTCGACAGGAACATTCTCAGATTCAGAGTTTGGGCTTTTAGCTTTGACAAAAGTTCCGAACTTAAGAGATTTTCCATTATCATTAGATCTAGGAGAAAGAGATCCAACGAAATCAGATAAATAAGATGAAGAGGAGGAAGAATGAATGTGAGAATAATTGCACATAGAGTCATCAGGAGCACATAAATCCAGATCATCATAACCTAGGCCAGTCTTTATTTCACTAGGAAGTTGATCATGTAAGATTTTATCTAGGTTCTTGGATGATCTAGCCCATTTTTTAAGAATGACTCTAGCTTCTCATAGACCTTAGTTTTTTCTTTGTTAAGAACATTGTTTATTAACTTTTGTTCTTTAAGGTCATTTTTCAATTTATCAAAGTCTTTCAGTTGGTTCATGCATTTATGTAACTGACTAGTTAGACTTTTGATTTCAAGGTCAGCTTTCTTTTTAGCAGATCTAGCATAGTAAAGATCAACAGATAAAGAATCATAAGCTTGAACATTTTCAGATTCAGAGAGAGAAAAGAAGTTGTTTACCTTCTTTGGTTTGACCAGATCTTTGGCATCCTTGGAGGTAGAAGGCACATCTATAGCAACAGTAGAGAAAGTTCCCTTGAATGAGTCTTTTATCTCCTGAATTTTGGCCATAAGACACAGATATGCCATGTCCTCGTCACCGTAGGAAGAGGTTGGCTCATCAATCCATTCATTAGTCTCAGCCATGAGACCCTTACCTTTTCTCTGAAGGTCCTGGTTCTTTGCCTTTTCTCTCTTGTACTTTGCTTTGTACTTATCGTGAGAGGATCGACTAGAAGGTTGAGAAGATGCTTAGAGATCTTTTTGCTTTTACACTCAACAGCAAAATGACTTTTCTTGCCATAGTTGAAACACTCCTCATTGGACAAATCAAGAAAAGTTGACTTAGTTTGATCTAAGGTTCTACGGTCGGTGACCTTAGATCTAGGAGTGAAATTAGAAGAACCCTTTTCGGCGTACCTTTTGAAGTTAGTAGCCATCATGGTCATGTTGTCTGCTAAGTCATTAACTATGCTCATCATCAGCATAGCTTTCAGCAAGTTCTTCTTTTCTGACAACATCTTCTTCAAAACTAGTTAGATAAGTGATACGAGGTTCACTGACTGGCTTCCTCGTATCATTGCAGAAAAGAGCAACAGGAGAAGTTTTGGGATCCTTCAATAATTCCTTTTTTAGAAGCTTGGTTTGCTCATAATTGTGGAGAGTTCCATAAAGAGCAGTAAGAGGCATATTTTCAAAATCTTTGCTTGTCTTGATACAAGTACAGATGTTTTCCCAAAAGTCTGGTAAACAGTCCATAAACTTGCACAGGACTTCTTCATTTTCATTGACTCTACTACGAAACTTCAGATCATTGAGGAGGCTGTTAAACCTATTGTAGTATTCAGTGAGAGATTTACCTTTCCCATGCACAAAGAGCTTATATTGCCTAATGAGGCCAATCTTCTTGCTTTTCTTTACTTCGATGGTTCCTTCATACAGAACAAAGAGAGTGTTCCACATGTCCTTAGCAGTAGAGAGGTTTACCAAGGATTGGAAAACATCATCAGGAAGAGAGAGGACAATGATAGCCCTTATCTTGGTATCCAAGCAAACTTTCCTTTTGTCATCTTCATTGTACTGTGATAGATCTTTGATGATGAACCTTTCAGTACAGTCAGATTTCTCTTCATCATCATCAAAATCATTTGAAAAATTACCTTCGTCTTTGTTCTTTCCATGATGAAGCCAAACTTTAGGAACAATGGGTGCATCCTTGAGGATAGAGAGATATTGACTATCAACACTTTCAAGGAAGAGTGTCATGCGACTTTTCCACATAGAGAAGTTGTTCTTGTTAAACTTGGGAGGCTTGGAAATAGTGACATTGTCTTGGTAAGAAGAAGGAGCAAAGATGGAAGAAGAAGAGCCCATTGCAGATCTAGCTTATGAGATTAAGCTAACTGCTCTGATACCACTTGTTAGTCCCGAAGGAGATGGCAATAAACATAAAGTAATTGTAGAAGGGGGGTTGAATACAATTACACATACTTCTTTAACTTTTTTTATTCTTATTGATGTATATCAAGAATTAACACACACGGAAGTACAAAAGATTGTTGCAGAAGATAAGAAAGGAAAACCTAACCTAAACAATCTTACAAGAAGGAGAACTTACAAGAACGACACAAAGAGTTCTTGAAAGGAATGAAGAATACTAAGATTTTCTTCGCACACAGGAGAGTATGGGAGTATAAGAGAATAGCCGATTGCCTTGAGAATGCACTAAGTAATCATTCAAAAAGCCAGTTGTGTGCATGGGAGATGCACACTGCCTTTTATACTACCTTCAGCATTAAATGCATGGGGACACTTGTCACCTAAGGATAAGAAGGCAGGGGTTGACTTGACCATTGTTGATATCTCATTTTCATCGTACACAACGTGCATACAACACTGTTCATGTAGAGACAAACTTTTGCTGAGATATGGATAGTCTGTAGGAAGATTTTCTTTGGATGGATTAGTAGCTTCAAACAGCTACTCATAAATCGTTGGTCCATGAAGATCTTCAATCTTCGGTCCATGAAGATCTTCAATCTTGGGTCCATGAAGATCTTCCCTCATGGGTCCATGAAGATCTTCCCTCAATCGGCTTGTAGCTTCAAAATATTTTCAATCTTCATTTCAGCTACTCAGGAGTCTTGGTGTGTATATTAGACAGTTGATCCACAACACTACATCGGTGACCTTCTGTCTTCATATTGGCTAGTCTTCGATTTTTCCAATGGCTTAAGTATGTACCAAGACACTATATACAAAGAAACCAATAACTACTAAGTGTTTCTTAGGTGGAGGAATAGATCAGTGGGTCATCACTAAATCAATAGGTGACCCAACAACCTTCTATGTCGATGTCAATGACCGATTTTGCACCACGAAACTTTGAGAGCTCGACTGCTTCTTCCAAGAGATTCGCAGAACTTTTTGTAGCTGCTGAGCATGCTCTCCATAGGACTATTTCTGATCTTGATTTATGGAAATCATTATCATCTTTAAAAGCATCTTGGTTTAGCGTTTTCCCAGCAGAAGCATGTGAAAAGTGGGGCTGTTGCTTGTGATGTGGAAATGTTCTCTGAGACCAAGCTTAGAGAAGAAGCAGAACCGAAGGCCAAGGTTACTACTTCACAAGCAGTTGATAGAGAGTATGTGGAGTACAACAGTCCCAAGATGTAAGTAGTAATTTTCATTTCTTTCATGGATTTATTGCTGCTAATTAATTAATCTTTTCTACTACTTTACTACAGGGTGTTTATTGTAGAGGCCTGCGATGATCTTGGAGGATAAATGTTATGGATAAGGTATGAAACTTTTCAAACATTTCTATTTCATGTTGAGTTCTAACTTCTGGAAGCCTAAGGTTCTTTGGCATAGATATATAGATCTCATTATTTGATTTCTTTTTCTTTCACATTTTGTCATGTCATTGAAGTATATTGGCATTTCAGAATGTACATGTAATTTATCTCGTTACATTGGGGGAGGTAGTTGAGATATATACAATACTGCAAATCTGTAAGTAAAGGATAGTCCTGCTTCACTCAACACCTTTATGGTTTCAGAATGTACATGTAATTTATCTCATTCAGTTTTAGAGAAGAGACATTTTTCATACAGGAGATGCCTTTATGATTTTTAAGTGTATCTGCTTTTTTGGCATTTGTAATGAAAATACAGTCTTCAATTTTATGGTATGTTGACAGTTGTTTTTTTATTCAACTGATACGCAATTGAGTATTAGAACTATGAGGGGATGTCCAGAATTTTTTAGATTTTATGTTTCTTATAAAAAATATTGCACGAGTTGTTAAGTACTTTTGGAATTTGGATGCACAAAAAAGCAATTTAGCATAGGATATTGTTTTTATATGCTATCTTATTATAATCCAATTCATGGTATGGGTTCATTGTCATTTGTTGATCGTTGATGGACATTGTTGTTTTCTGGTATGTTTTAGTTGTTTGAGTAGAAGTGATCAAAAGCCATGTGTTCAGAATGATTTTGCATTGTGACCTCACATATACGAAGATATTGTGAATATGCAAAATGTACAAGGTTTTGTTCTCTGGATCTTATTACTTATATACATTTTATATATTGATAGGAGCTTTACAGTTTGTTGTTGAGGATAAGTTGTTTTTTTTAATTATTTAAGGTAGGAAAATTTAAGGTATGTTCCTCTGTAAAACACTTTGGATGTCGTTTGTGATTAATTAAAAAGGGTTTTGATCATTCTTCTATTAATTGAAGTTGATTAGTTATGGATGCACGAAAGATTGCTTTTTGATACTTGAGGACAGGTTTTACGGTTGTTTAGCTGCTGCTCTTCCTTTGCCTCAGGTTCATTCATGATTACTTCATGTATTACTATCTTTTTTTCATGCAATAATTATTGGTGGGATTGGTTTCAATTTTACACAACTTCGTTTAATTACCGTTTAGAAACACCATTGTTATGTTATGATTTTTACATTGTTTTGATCCCCATTGTATAACAATGCTAACCAACCATGAGTTCGGTTTTTTGTTCTTGAGGTTGAAATTGAAGGCCATGGAGACAGCTTCTCTCTCCCTTGGGGTAGAGACAAGATCCTACCTCCGTGTGTGGGTTTTATGGTCATTTTGGATAAATGACTTTAATAGGAGTTTTCAATTAGGAGCATGACCTCTCCTGATTTAAAACAACCCGCTCCCTTGAAAACTTAGGAATAGGTTTCATTTTGCAAAACCATCTTCAAAATCCCTAGGATTTACTGGGTTCATATGGTTTGGTTTAAGTAGAAATTGAATATTAGGGAAGTGCCTTGTATATGAAAACTGCCACATCAGCTAGGCTTGGACCATTTCTCCTAAATATATGTTTGAATCTCCCTTCTCTCTTTAAGGGCTCTTTTGGAGAGTAATCTGAAGGGGTTCTGCTTATTCTCGTATATACCAATTGATTATATATTATCTTGTTTCTTTACGATGCCAATGCAGTATCTACGAGCTGTTGAGCGACAATATTCGTGCTGGAAAGAAGAATGTGCACAAGAGAAGAACCTTAGTCACCCCCGCAATCGTCTTTATTTTGATTGAGACTAGAGAAGAAATGAATTGTTGGTAACACATAGAAGAAATTTTTTGCAATTGAGATTCATGAGTTTTGCAAGCTTAAAAGGTTGTCAGAATCTGGGTTCTCTCTGTTTTTGGGTCTTGGTCAGATTTCCTGACATTGTTTTATATAAGTAAGGCCATTATTTGGTTGTGTGCATGTGTTTTGGTTCAAGGTAAATGACCCATTTAACTCTTGCCGGATAAACGTGTATCAAACAATCCTTTACCAAGGTGCTAACATTTGACGGATCAATATTCCAATTGTTGATTAAGCTATTTTTTTTACAGTTATTATGAAACCTGCATTAATTTGTTGTTTCTTCAACATCTTCTTGTTAATGTTATGAATATTCAGGGACTATGTCTTAATACAATAAGTACCCACTTGTAGCAAACAGAAGACTTCCAATCCCCAACCATAATTGGTCATGTGATTTATCTTTTGATAGTGATGTTCTTAAAATCAGCAGATGCCTTAAAAAGCTCCAAACCCCACCATACTAGTTTCTGAGTCCTTATTTAGGTTTGGTTGATTATGAAAGTTGAATTT